ACACAAAGAAGATGGTGGACAGCTGACCAAAACGAATCCATTGTGAGAAATTACTATAAAATCACCAAACTTGGAGAAAATAAATCAGCTTACCGTAGACCCATCCATCAAGCAGTCATAGAACATCCTGAGTTAACAGGTGTAAGTGAACACCAACTCAACTCAACTCAACTCAACCTGAGAATAGTGATATCACTAAGTTGACTCAAAAAAATCAAGCAATAGAAAATAACGACGCGAAAAAAAATCCAAGAACTGTTTAGAATAGTAATAGACAAATTTCGGAATACCAACCCAACTAAACGACCTTATATACCAAAACAAAAAACTTCTAAAAGGCTGGCACAAATTGTAGATTTTATAAACACTAAAATATTACCAAATCACATATCGAGAGAGCATGATTTTGAGACCACTCAGACCATAATTTACTGCGTGGCGTACACAGTAGCTATAATTAACGGAACCAAAATCAGAGACACAAACACAACACCTACCCAAAGTCGAAATAAAGAACCTGTCTGGCAGATGTTGGATTTCAGAAGAGACATTGGAAGGCTAACAGAATATACCAAAGGCAATAGAAGCAATAGACTCACCACTTCAGTGGAAGCAATAAAAAATAAATACCGAATACATTCCCAGCATGAAGAATCCAATTTAAGCGATGAACAATTCCTTGACACACTTAAACAAAAACTGAATGCGGCATCTAGCAGATTAAAAAGATACCTCAATTGCATACTTAGGAAGTCACAAAATAGCCAGTTTATCAATAATGAAAAACAATTTTATAGGAGCCTGACTTCAGACACACAGCACGACACACGTAGAAATAGGCAAGATGCACCATTACCACCCGCCAATGAATTACGTAGCTTCTGGTCTGGTATTTGGTCTATACCGGTTCACCACAACACTTAGGCAGAATGACTGAAATCAGATTCCGAAGTAACTGATTCTATCACACCAATGGCATTTGAACAAATACCTCTGGAAGTATTTGTGCATATATTAAAAAAACCCATAGCTGGAAAGCACCCGGAAGTGACCGCATACATAACTACTGGTATAAGAAACTTTCAACAATTCACCTTCTACTTCATAACCATATCAATGACTTTATACAAAAGCCAGACATAATGCCCCGATACATTTCACAAGGCCTCACATACATGATTCCGAAAGACGCAGATCATCAAAATCCTGCCAAATTCAGACCTATCACATGTCTCCAAACTATTTATAAACTACTTACAGCATGTATAGCCGAGCTCTTACATCAACATATAGCCACAAACAACATCCTTACTGAAGAACAAAAAGGATGTCGAAAAAGTAGTCAGGGGTGTAAAGAGCAACTCATAATAGACTCCGTAGCAATGAAACATGCTATTTCTAAAAGGAAGAACATCAATACAATGTATATTGACTACCGAAAAGCATTCGACTCCGTACCGCACAGCTTGGCTCCTACATGTACTTAAAAACTATAAAATTCACCCACAACTTATACATTTTATTGAAAAATTCAATGCAGCAGTGGACAAATACATTAAAAACCATAGGAACGTCTTGTATAGAAACATCAGAAATTCCAATACGTCGAGGAATCTTCCAAGGGGATGCGCTTAGCCCTCTCCCTATGGTTCTGTCTCGCATTAAACCCTCTCTCACAAATGCTGAACAAAACCAATTATGGTTACTCTATCATCACACCACACAAACACACCACTCTAACACACCTAATGTACATGGATGACATAAAACTATACAGTAACACTACACAGTCATTGCATCGCCTCGCAGACATCACCCAATCTTTCTCAAACGACATTCATATGGAGTTTGGGATTGACAAGTGCAAAACTTTCTCAAAATTAACCCCTTCAGCTATAGCCTAGTAACAGGAGACACGATTGAACCTCTAGAACCCCATGCCTCATATAAATACTTAGGTTTCCAACAAGAGCGACAGATCCATCAAAAGGAAACGAAAGAAGGTCTCAAAAAGAAATTTAAACATTGACTCAATAGTATATTCCGGTCTCAACTCAACTCCCGTAACATGTCAAAAGCAATCAATAGTTACGCAATCCCCATAATGACATACTCGTTTGGTATAATAAACTGGACTCAAGGTGACCTTATCAATCTGCAACGTATTATAAATACCACTCTGACGACTCACCGCAAGCCCCACCCTAGATCCTGGGTACAAAGGATGACTCTTTCAAGATCCGAGGGAGGACGAGGTATAATAGATGTCCTCAACTTGCACAATAAACGAATCAAATCCCTTCGACAATATTTCCATCAACGCGCAGAACACTCACTTCTCCACGAAATAGTAATCTTAGCCGACAAACGCCTCACACCACTTAACCTCGCGGACCGAAATACAACGCAGTGAACGAATCACTGACGTAAAAGAGAAGATGGCCTCATGGCAACAGAAGTCCCTACACGGAAGGCACTACCACGACCTGCAGCTGTCACATGTCGACAAAAAAGCGTCGAACGCCTGGCTGAGGCGCGGTGAACTCTTCCCAGAGACGGAGGCATTCATGTTAGCGATCCAGGACCAGGTCATCGATACCCGAAACTTCCAGAGACACATAGTACGTGCACCTAACCTCCCCACTGATACTTGCGGACATTGCCACTCTAGCCCCGAAAATATACAACACATAACATCCGCCTGTAGAGCCCTTGCACAAACCGACTATAAGCATAGACATGACCAGGTCGCCTCCCTAATACGCCAATATCTTGCCCTTAAATTTAAATTCATACAAAAAATGACACCATATTACAAATATAAGCCGGACATCATATTAGAAAACAATAATCATAGAATCTACTGGGACAGGACCATTATCACAGATAAAACTATTCACTTCAATAGACCCGATATCACAGTGTATGACAAAAATAACAAAACTACTTACCTAATTGACATTGCCATACCAAACACCCATAACATTCAATCCATCATAGCTGAAAAACTTACAAAATATCAAGATTTAGCTATAGAACTCAAGCGACAATGGAGAGCAGAAACCATCCATATAGTCCCAATAGTTATCTCATCTATCGGAGTCATACCTAAAAGCCTACAACGCAGTCTAGACATTTAGATAGATTGGCAAAGAGCCTTGTACACATATAGGAGGAGATCGCTATCTGCAATTTCTCTTAGGTTCTTAAAAATATAAATGAGCTTTCTTACTCTACTCGTGACATTTGAAATTTGACGGTTCCAGGTTAGCTTCTCGTCAATTGTCACTCCTAGATATCGCACGTGTTTAATCATTTCTAGCTCTTTACAACTACATTGTCTGCCAGGAAGTAAGGGTATTGTAATGCATGGGAAAGTGTGCATCTTGAGTTTAAAGCTGCTGGAGGGTTTAGTAGCATATAGCAATATTTCGTCTTTTCTATGTTTAACGATAACAAACTATTTTCCAGAGCCTTCGAAACTTCACACAGTCCTCTCTCTGTAAGTTTTTGCACACCATCCCAAGTCTGATGATGAAATATCAGGACAGTGTCATCTGCGTACATTAATAAATCAGCTCCTTCTAATTCTATGTTGCAGAGATCGTTAACGTAGAGCAGGAAAAGAGTTGGTCCAAGAGTGCTTCCTTGTGGGACTCCGTAATCACAGTTTGTTTCGTCACTAATGTGTGTGCCAACTTTAATCTGCTGGCTTCGATTATTTAAGTAGTCTGCAAACCAGTCATATAACATGTTTAATATGTTTATTCATGTCATTACAATACTTGAAACTAATTGCACAAAACAACTTATAAATTATACTTCAAAACAAACAAAATAAATAAGCAAAATGGCGGATTGTGTCAGCGCTACTGAAGTTAGCAAACGTGTCCTGGCCGAAAACTGTATAGTTTTGCCATTTTGCTTACAAGCGCTTCCTTGCCTTTCTCTAGTCAATATTCCTAGCGCTTTTTTCTGCCAAACACAGCCATTGTGTATGTAACGTAGACAGTTCTCTGTCTACGGTATGTAATGACCTTTTTTTATAGGATAGGGTGACAAACGAGCACACAGTCCACCTGACGATAAGTGGTGGCTGTGGCCCATAGATATCTACGTCTATCTTCGATTACGAATCAAAATGCAGATGCGTTGTCACCCGTAGGGACTAAGATGGAATGCCTCGTTTCCAGTAAAAAGGGTCTCCGGTTCTTTACACTCACCATACCAAACACAGCAGCAACAGCATTAAGCTACTATTTGACGGCGGTATTCTGTGTGAGCGTGGTCCTTCCCTGGTCGAGCCGACCCATTCGTAATGACTAATAGCTCCTCTACACGATGGGCCAACGCTGGCCCAGCGAGATAGCCATGCGATGGTTGAAACGCATCTACACGATGGCGACATTCAGTTGTCATCGTAACGTTTTTCGAAATGAACGTGGAAGAATTGGACGCTGCGGCAATATACATATACAACATGTTTTTTTTTTGTCTTTTTTAAATGTGCACAAGAATAGAGGTACTCGTATCAAAAAGAAATGGCGTAGAAATTGGTGGATGTTATCTTCTATCCATCGCAACAGAACTGAATATGTTCTGAGTAAATTTAGTTTTCTTTAAACAAAAATAATTATAATTAATTATTAATAATTTAATAAATAATTATTAATTAATTATTAAAAATAAATAAGTAAAAAATAAAATATGGCGGTATATGTTCCGATTTTTGTAGCTCTATGATTAAAATTTTGTAACTTCATTAGTGGCCACATATTCGTCATTTTTAATTCGTTAATTAGTAAACATAGCACGAACGTCCACACACAACCGTCGAGCGCGCACAACTGTGGAAAAGGCCACGTGTCATTGAGTTACAATACCTATAGAGTCACAAACAGACAAATAAAATGTCCGCGCCAAAACTCGGCGCACGCTGCGAAGTGCGCAGAGTTTTTGTTTAGTTGTAAGGCGACCACAATCCTCGTACAACGTCCGCGATGCCAAAGTGTTCGGTGATTTCCTGCCCAAATAACAGCAGACACGTGCGAAAAAAGGATGGTGTTTCATATTTTAGGTAAGTATCATACCAAATTTACGTATTTATGTATCCACAGTGCATGTTTTCATTTAAATTTCAATAATTTTCATTTTATTAGCAAACTAAAACACTCACCGCCGACCGCGCGGCGCCGCGATAACGTTTCTCTTTCACACGTTAGACAAATATGCAAGAGTAAAAGAGAAACAAATAGTCACGCGTACGAGAGTGACTCGCAAATTATGTTCTAACGGTTCTATGGAGTGGATTGATACAATAAATATTTTTACAGATTTTAAACTTAATGTACTAATATTACAATGTTGTTAAATGTTTTATTTTTTAGTTTTCCGTACAAAATGTAGGTCGAAAGAGTTTTATTATTTTAAAGTATAATTACAATATGTTTTTTTTTGTTTTTAGTTTTCCTCGAAACCCCATAAGATGCTCTGAATGGACAGTTATTATAGCAAAAGCCCGAAATGAATTAAACTACAAGCCATATAAAGGGTCGGTTGTATGCTCTAATCACTTTCCTGCTTCAGACATTTATACAACAACGAAAGGTTTCAGTAGGCTTAACAAAAATGCAAAACCCATTTTACATGTAAGAACTTATTCCTTTTTAATGCTTACAATGTAATATTTTATTATAACTTTCGATTTTGTATTCTTAAAATGCGTGCATTATTCAAAAATTGCTTATTTTACGTCTTGCAGATAAATGTATGATCTATGATTTCTATTACAGCTGAATAAAAAACAACTTAGAAGTTACGATAGTTCAGATACACACTAAAACGTACATTTTAATACTTAGCATTTTAGTACCTAATTCACAAACCTTAGTGGTTTACTAGTGCTATTAATACTATTAATTATTACACCAATTTTTTTTTCATTTACTTATCATATAAAAAATCTTATAAAATGTGTTATAAGATTTTTTAATATGATAAGTAAATTAAAAAGAAATTGGTGTAATAATTTTTGAAATCAGTTGTTTAGTTCTCCTAGGTACATATAAACTCACAAACTCATATTTCACAATTATTATAAACTCCTAATAATATTAGTATAAATAGCGTCTCCACTGATGCCTTGTTCCCTGCTCGTACGCAAGCCCTTGAGTGAATGATGATGACATTGCATACGAGCGACTTTGAACATTATACAAGCAGGTTAACGTCTAAATTCGAGCAAATGTCATTTTGAACTATATAATATCAAAATATATAGGTATATGGAACGGCGCTCGGACATTTTTTGAGTATTGTCAGTTAGAGATTGTGACTCTATAGGTATTGTAACTCAATGCCACGTGTAGATGCGTACCGCCATCGCTGGCCCACTGCCTTTGATGTGCGGCGGAAAAACCGACACCGTCACAATCCCCAAGACCATCGTATGCGCCATAAGCCATCCGACACAACTACGCCCTCCACACGCTGGCCCATCATCTAGTATATATACAGTAATCTATGCCCATCATAGTGGGCCATCGCGTTGGCCCAACGTGTAGAGGGGCTATAAGATATTATCTATGGGTGAAAGCTGTTGCAATCCATAGACATAAAAAACTCCAGGTGAAAAAGCAAATTACAACAATTTACAACCCTATCTTTTTCCATAGATGCGTATAAATGGCTTTTTTACGTTTTATTTTGTCTATGTATATTTTTTAAATGTTAGAATCAGTTAGAATCACTTCGCATTGTGTCAGTTATTTGAAATCTCTTTTTCATTATAAGGATTCACCCCTAGGTAAATAATTAATTTTCTTAGTTATTAGTTTTAATTTTTCTCACATGCTTTGAGATTTACACAGTTGTCAATATAATTTCTTGTCATGGTGATTGGTTGTCACACGGGTTTGATAAATTTTCTCAGAATTTTTTTAATTAACGGCGTTATTTTCATTTGAAAGGCTATATTTTCCTTATTTTTAAACTAATTATTGTACGTAAGTGTTTGTTATTATTCGTAGCTAGCTTATCTACTGGGGATGGAAGAGATTGAACAGGATTCAAATCCTCCGGATGATGCCGGAAAATCTGGATCTTCGCCCGACTTTTTTCTCGCTTCTAGTTCTACCGATACATTTCATCAGACTGATACTGTTAAGCTGGTTAATATATATCACCCTTAAATTTAGAACCTAAGAAGAAAGTGTCTTCTCTACCCTCAGCAGCCATACAGAATATATTTGTTCATCCTTTGTCTGAAGAAAAGAAACGCTACAATAGTAATGACAGCGCACCTTTTATTGTTCACATTATGAAACCGTCACTGGAGCCCTCCCCGAGTACAACAATTAAGCTAGTTATAGTGGGTCAATTTCTTTACCAAAGTAATATTATTGGAATTTTCGACGCAATCGAATTTCTATTGAATTTTATTCACACAAACTAGTTAACGATTTTGTTGTAAGTCCATTACTTGCAAAGCAAATTTTGTAGCCGTAATTCCTACCTATGCTATTACGAGAATGGGTATCATTAGAGGTATTCCAGTCAATGTTGGTATGGATGAATTCGTTTCTGCATCAGAAGTTCCTTCTTCTACAGAAATAATTCGCGCTCGTCATCTAAACTGTAAAGTTATTAAAGCAGATAACTCTGTTGAGTGGATCCCAACACAAACTATTGTTATTACGTTCTCCGGTAAATTACTACCCTCACATGTTTTTGCCTATTTCACTTCATATCCTGTAGAACCTTACCTCTTACCTACAATACAATGTTATAACTGCTGTTGTTTTGGTCATGTTAAGTCTAAATGTAGATCTAACCCTCGTTGTTATAAATGTAGACAATATTATATTGGAGAAATATGTGAAGCTACCTCGGTCACATGTCTTTACTGTACTGGTAATCATTCGGCAATTAGTTCATCCTGTCCAGAATTTAGTAGACAAAAATCTATTAAAGTAATTATATCATAAGAACATGTCTCTTATGATGAAACATCTGTAAGAGTCCGCCCATCAAAACGAGCTTATTCAGATATTGCAACCAAAACTCCTTTAAATCCAACTTCTCAGACTAGTAATAAGAATTCATATAAAAAAAATTCTATATAAATAGGAAATCATGTTCTCCAGCATCCGATCATGGGTATGATCATGCAGCCCATGAATCCATGATCCAAATCCCAAGAAGTTCTCTTCCTAATGGAAGTGCTTACCCTAAAGATAATGTTAGCCATACTTCTCCAAATGAAAATTTAATAGATTTACATTAAATTTACATCCACACTTATACATTGCATATGCATTTTGAAATTTAACAATCATTGTTTACCTCCTAATTTAACCCAGTCTCTGTTTTTCTGGACTCTAAGATGACAGGTAATCCTCATTTAATGTTAATTGCCCAAAAATGCGAAAAGAAGGTAAATTTCCTTCACTTACTGACAGGTGTTTGGTGAAGATCTCATCCATATTGTTTAAAACTTTTATATAACGCTCCAATCTGTAGTCATTTTGACTATGGTACATTTCTTTTGGAACCTTGTAATAAACAAGCTTTTAGATGAAATCCAACTCAAGTGCTTACAAATTATCTTGGGGGCCAAAATCATCTCCGTTAAATGCTCTACAAGCTGAATGTTGCGAACCCCCGCTTAACCTACGTAGACAGTATCTTGCCGATCGCTTTGTATATAGAATATTTTAGCTATCTTCACACCCACTTCTTTCTACCCTGCATTCTTTAAACTCTGGTTTTAAGAATAACAACTACTGGACTCATAAAGACATCCCCTGCATCCTTAAAAGCTATCAAAAGATACTTATCTTTTAATTTCCAATATTTCAAAGTATGATTAATCCTCTGTTAATATATATCCGTTTGAAGCTCTATGTTATCATCCTCCAGTTATTTTAGATTTTGGGGTAACTAAAAATTACCCTGTAACCCAACAAAAAATTTTTAAGTATTTTACGCGAAAAATGGGAAGGTTGTTTGATTATTTACACTGATGCCTCTAAGCTTTCTGATAATAGTTTTGTAGGTTCAGCTGTCTGTATACCGAAATATAAAATTATTTTAAATTTTAAAAATTCAAATGTCTGTATACCGAATTATAAAATTATTTTAAATTTTAAAAATTCAAATGCTACTTCAATTTTCACCGGTGAAACTGTTGCTATTTTACAAGCAATTTTATATATAGACAGTACGCGATTGGTTTGCTCGCATACTTTTCACAGTATGCGAGCAAACCGGGTTCGATCCCCGCCTGCACCAATGAAATTGTTAATTGCAATTTTAAGTGCTGATTTACCATGTGCTCGGCGGTGAAGGAAAACATCATGAGGAAACCTGCATGTCTGAGGAATAAAGAAAAAAAATATTTCTAAGACATGTGAAGTTCGCCAACACGCATTGGGGCAGCGCGGTGGACACTTCCTTGCCCTAAAACCCTCTCAGAAATGAGGGGAGGCCTGTGCCCAGCAGTGGGACGTATATAGGCTGTAACTTTACTTTACTTTACTTATATAGAAGCTCACAAAATAAACAAATGTATTGTTTTTACCGACTCATATAGTTCATTACAAATGCATTTATCTAACCCGTTTCGAAGTAAATCAAAATTTCCAATTATTTTTAAAATAAAAGATGCACTGTATAGATGTTTCTGTCAAGGTATTAACTTGAAACTTGCTTGGCTGCCAAGTCATAGTGGCATATGTGACAACGAAATTGTCGATTCCTTAGCAAAACAAGCATCTACTTCCGGTACCCTCATGCATCATATAACATATACTCATGACCTTATTTCTCTTGCGAAAATCTATCAGATGTCATATTGGAACTCTCTTTGGAAAAAATCTCAGAAGTCTATCAGTAAATATCATAGAGATATAATACCTTTTATAATACTTCTAAGTCAGTGGTAAATATTATGCAGAACTCCAACCTGACATTCCCTCCAAACCATGGTTTTTTTAAATTTAGAAATGGCTCCAAACATAGTACATCTGTCATATGTAAAATTAGATTGGGACACACTTGTTCACCTGTATTTTTGACGAAACTTAAGATTAAAGATAGCTCAATTTGTGAGTGTGGATTAGACAAAGGTACGATTGGTCATAAATTTTTTAACTACCCTATACAATTTCCTTCCTAATAAGATCCCTCGCCCTATAAATCTTAAGTCTTTGTTAAATTTAGTTTACACTCCTTTTGTACAAACTTTATCAGACTTCATATCCATTAATAACATCAAATTTTATAGTACTTTGACCACTTACCTATATCCATTTTATTATTTATTATATTTACAATAATTTTGTAAAACCACTATAATTATGTTAATTCATTCGAAAATGAACGACCTACCTATGTAACTACGTATCATAAAGCTAAGTAAGTATTTCTATGGAAACGGAAACTAGTCAAATACTCTGTTTGACTTTCATGAAACTTGATGCTGGCAGAATCCATAGGAAGTTGCCAAAGTAGGAAAAATGCACAAACCTAGACCTACACAAATTCTGAGCATAGCTGTCAATTCAAATGTTAATCATATTATAACTTGTTAACATTGATTTGCTCCTTTTCAATCATGAATATGGTATGTTAATATATTCTTTTAAAAACTAGAAAGGGTAATTATTATTGCCACAATTTACTTAATAATACAATCGATATTCATGATCTTACAGGTTCAAAAGCACTTAGAAAGGAGTACTATATGCCGAAAAAGCAATAGATTATCTACTTTTGATAATTCAAGAAACTTGCCTAAATGTGAAGTGCCTGAGACAAATGTCTGAGAGTCAGAAAGAGGTGGAACACAGAAGAATGCAGTTGGAGAAATGGAAAGAAGAAAAAGAGAAAAGAAAGATATATCAGGAAGAGTTTATAAGTCTATTAGAATTTTGATTTGAGCCTTTAGAATTTTGTGTAAATTGACTATTAACCAAATTACACAAAATTCCAAAGGCTCAACATCAAGCAAACCTTTACATTCATTTGCACCAAGTAATGCATCATTTAAACCTCCGGAGCTTAAAAATGTAACAGAACTTCCTATTTTGGCAAGGGTACAAAATAAGAGAAAAAAGATTGATATAACATAACATAGAGCCAGATGTTAGCCAAAAGAAGGCTTTATTAAACTTAGAGAAATCAAATGGCTCATCAACTAAATCAGCCACTATGGCTTCAAAAGTTAATTCTCGCAGTAGGCCAAAAGTGAAGGATAAATCTGTTAAAGAGGTATATCCTAAAACCTCAATTCAGGAAAAAAACTCTAAACTTGATTCACTTGGAGTTTTATTTTTATAACTCCAAGTTAATCAAGTTCAGAGGAGAGACTTAGGTCTCCAAAGGCTTCGAGTACTGAGGAGCAACAAACACCTCTAAAGCCTTTAACAAATACCCCCATGACTCTAGAACAAATAAGTCCTTGTGTCACACTTTCTCGAGGGAAGGATAGTCCTACAAAAGAAAAGAAAAAAATGGAAGAAGGTATGATTTTAATAGTAGCCTATATTAAGCTATGTTTACACAAACATCATTTACGAATACATATTAATTATTGAACTTATTTACAAATTATATTTTCTTACAACCATTTTGTACAGACATATTTTAAAATATTCACCTCATGCAGAAAGCAGTGTGAAATGTTCAGTACATAAATTATATTTGGTTGTTTTTATACTTGACCAATTGTGTAATAGGAAAAGGTATTTAAAATGAAATTAAACATTGCTATACATACAGGGTTATCTTAAGATGGGTTCCGGGTCACACTGGCATAGTAAGCAACAAATTTGCTGACAAACTTTTACTTGTAGCCTAGCCCAATTGACCCTTGAAACTCTATTCTTAGTAAATCTTAAGATCTGGTCTAACACACCAGGCTTAAAACATTCTAAAACCTTAATCCATGCTTTTGATTGTTAATTTGCTTCAGCAGCCCTGGGATTAAGTAAAAATAAGTTGCGTATTCTGCCAAGAGCCCTAACTAGACACTGTTGTCGTAAAAGGCACATGTCCATCATGAGACTAAGCAACTCAAGGATGTGTCAGTTCTGTTCCATAACGGAAGAAACGCCTCTGCACATCCTAACTGATTGTGGAAATGTAGCACTCATCCGGGAGACTATGTACTCCGCCCAGAAGAAGTGAAATTACTCACGGCTAAGCAACTCCTATTCACTGAAGACATAGGGCTTAGCAGTGAACTATAGCCATAGCAGCGATCACAATAGATCTTTTGGGTTGCAGTGGTACTGGTCTCCTTCCCTAGACCTGCATAGATGTTCGCACAAAAAAAAAACATTGCTATACCTGTTATATTTATCATTCTTTTCATATTGAATTTTATTGATTCACTATAGCCTATCAAAGTCCACTGCTGATTGACAGATTGCCTCAAATGGGGAATATTTGCCGCAGTTGGCATGTTTGACAGGCGGTTTTTTCTGGTTTTTATTGGGTTTTATTAAAAAAAATGTTATTGTGTACCCTGCTATATATATATCCTGGTTTGTTTCCCTCTGATGCTTTTAACAAGATCCATGGCACAATATGGGCTAGTGGATATTTTTACACCACCACTATACAGTTACATTTTGAATTTATTTTTGCCATATAGTTAGTATTACATCTGCAGTTAGTAACAAAGCTAATCCCAATGGGCTCTGAATCATATGGAGACCCTCCCTGAAAAATCTAAATATAGGTACAGTCCCTAAGGGTAAATAATGGGATTAGAAATGGCAACTCATCGAGCTCCTATCATCAACATGCCCAGTATTAATAGCGAAAACCCACTAATAACAGTATATTGTTATAATATTATTCCGTTAATGGGAAAATAATAATATTTGAAAGGATTTGTATACATAATTAGGTATATTAATTTTTAAATAACATATCGTATTAATATCTGTATTTTAATAGTCTCTAAATTTTGCAAATAGCCCAGATTACGTCTGGTATTAGTCTATAAGCTTGTGCAGTTTATTTTTTTTACGATTGGTTCAGCCATTCTAAAGATTAGCTTGTACAGACCGACAAACAAATATTTTAAACAAAAATGACAAGTTCTACTGAAGTTATAAAACATGGAACATTTCAAATATATAGATTGACTTGGCCATCGCATGAAAACACAATGTATCTCACAAGTAATATGTATTAAGTAATTAAATTAGATTGCTTAGTGCGATTGCCAAGTCAATCTATATATTTAAAACATAAAAGATTTTTAACCTTGATATGGTCACTATAAAATGTTGTTAGGTTAGCTAATTACGTAATAACTTAAAACAGAAGGACCCTTAAATAAGTAGGCACTGAATAAATTAACCGACTTGGTATTACATGGATCTCAAAACTTTTTACCGTAGAAGAACTGAGTTGCGAGACTTGGTTCTTTTTACAAGTTATGTTTTTGATGGCATCTCATTTCTTTTTGTAGATAATATAGTCCTACTGTTTTTCTTTCCGGTACCTTCTACTTCTTGAATACCAACAACATACATATCAACGCCTATTATACATATACACTGATTCATTCACTGCAAATGTAACTTTGTAATTCTATATATTCATATAGGATTACAAAGTTATTTATGCAGTTGATGTATTCGTGCCGCGTTTTTGCTCGACTTGGCGGGGGCACTGCCGTGCCCCCAGATACATTGCATATACATTGTTGGGTTAAGATGGAATGCCTAGTTTCCAGTAAAAAGGATCTTTGGTTTCTTACACTCACCATACAAAACACAGTAGCATTGAGCTGGTATTCTGTGAGAGGGTGATCTCAGCGGGTCGAGCCGGCCCATTTGTACTATAACCATAAAATAACTGCAGCATCGCTCTACCTCGTATTCAAATGGTTTGCTTGTAGGAGATGTGCTGTGCGCTGTGGGGCAGGCGCGGCTGCTGGTGTTGCAGAAGTTGGCGCAGTTCGGGTCGCTGGTGGCGGCCTGCGAGTGCCCCGACCCCACCACTGGACTCGTCACGCCTACTGACCTCCAGGGATTCTGGGACATGGTCTATATGCAGTATATATTATGGTCTACTGCATATAGACCATATCCCAAAATCCCTGGAGGAGAATGCAGGTGAGCAAGTGATCACTCATTTCATGCTCTATTCTTCCTTTTAGCTTTTTGTTTATTTCAAAGTTTTATAACTTTTCTAAATAAGTAAAGCAAGTGAATATAACAATATTTTATCTGAAAATCCGGCTCATGGTCTTCATGCAGGTGAGCAAGTGACCTCTTATTTCATGCCCCTTTCTTCTATTTTGGTTTTCGTCTATTACGGAATTTTATTTTGTTATAAAATAAGAAGTAAGTTAATATTATAATTTTTTATCTGTAAGTCAGTTCTAAATAATGTTGACTTTGACAACTTCAGATTGTTACCGAAAGTTTTCAACTATACAGGAGATATGGTAATTTATTAGTAATGTTATTAAGATAAATCAGATTACTATCATATTTCTAATATTTGTATCGTGAACCTTGCATTATATCTAAATGTCTACTGTCCATGCAGTATGATTCACAGCCGGTAATTATATTGATTGACTGCCTTATTCGGGTTCTATCTTTGGGCCAGCAAATATTATTGGATTTTTCTGTCAAGAAGTTCTCAGAGGCAGTCCAGAGTCAGTTATTTGGTTTCATTCACATTCACAGAGGTTTCATCCCAGTGCCTCAGAAAGCTTGTAAAACCGTTGGTTCTGCACCGGACCCCTCGCTAGTCGGATCGGTTTGTCGTACCATCGGACTATGAGATTGAGGGTATAGAGCTATAGAGAATGCACCTGTGCTTGCGCACATACTTGTGCACTTTAGTCCTGTTCTGCACAGTTAGCTAGTCTACATTGAGATTGACCGCAGTGACTGAAATTAGGTCTGGAGGATATTGGGTGGGCGGCGGGCCTTAGGGTTGCCGAGTTCAGATTCGCGAGATGTTACACTAGATGGACTGTATACGCTGGAAGTTTCTCATGCTTCAACAAGATGGCGGATGTGGCACGCGGTTCCTTGACAATGCACTCGCTCTTCCGAAATCTATGGCTTGCCAAGGTTATGAAGGAATCCTACTTGAGCTCATTAGGAGAAATGAAATAGGGGCGGGTTAACTAACAAAACACAAATACTCAAGCAGGCGTCATAGGAAAAGAAGCACGCTTACCGGGGTGTGACTTCGATGCGGCTTGGACGCTTCTGTTGCTGCGGTGCGACTTCTGGCGGATCTCCTGGGGCCCCAGGGATGCGGTCCTGGCCGGTGGTGCGATGGAAGAGGGCGCACGAGGGCCGTGCGCGCGCTTATATTGAAATCTTTGTCACTTTTAACATACTGGTAAGAGTCTAACACCTGTGTTTGTCATATTTGTTCTAGGTAGTTCAACAAATAGATTTGTCAAAATTCTCGGAGGAAAACTGAATCCTTGTATTATCACAGACTCTTATTTTAATTAAACTCATAAGCTTTCATTTTCCACTCAATACGTCATTGGCGAATTTTATCAAACCGCCACAAAAGAAAGAAGAAGAAGAAGACTTGGCCATCGCATGAAAACACAATGTATCTCACAAGTAATACGTATTAAGTAATTAAATTAGATTGCTTAGTGCGATTGCCAAGTCAATCTATATATTTAAAACATAAAAGATTTTTAACCTTGATATGGTCACTATAAAATGTTGTTAGGTTAGCTAATTACGTAATAGCTTAAAACAGAAGGACCCTTAAGTAGGGACTGAATAAATTAACCAACTTGGTATTACATGGATTTCAAAACTTTTTACGGTAGAAGAACTGAGTTGCGAGACCTGGTTCTTTTTACAAGTTATGTTTTTGATGGCATCTCATTTCTTTTTGTAGATAATATAGTCCTACTGTTTTTCTTTCCGGTACCTTCTACTTTTTGAATACCAACAACGTACATATCAACGCCTATTATACATATACACTGATTCATTCACTGCAAATGTAACTTTGTTATTCTATATATTTATATAGGATTACAAAGTTATTTATGCAGTTGATGTATCTAGAAAACTGGACCGAAATTAAAAAATATTTTAGTTTTTCCTTGATTAATACACTAAACACTAATTGTGTTCTAAATTTGAAGCTTCTATGTCTGCTAGAAGCGCCTTAGAGTTTTGATGATCGGTCAGTCAGTGAGTGACAAAATTAAGAAACTGACTAGTTATATTTCTTAAACTACTAGTTCAAAATGGATGAAATTTGAAAAACAACATGTTTATACACTGTACTCGGTTACTGAAAATTCAGGCTTCTAGTTTTATCCACTACGAAGTTATAGGGGGTCGAAAATGGCCTGAGTTGCTTCGAGAAAAGTATGGTACGGCCATGCCGCTTTTTGTCGTGCCCCCAGATACATTGCATATACATTGTCGTCCCTGAGGGTTAAGTTGGAATGCCTAGTTTCCAGTAAAAAGGATCTTTGGTTTCTTACACTCACCATACAAAACACAGTAGCATTGAGCTGGTATTCTGTGAGAGGGTGATCTCAGCGGGTCGAGCCGGCCCATTTGTACTATAACCAAAAAATATCTGTAGCATCGCTCTACCTCGTATTCAAATGGTTTGCTTGTAGGAGATGTGCTGTGCGCTGTGGGGCAGGCGCGGCTGCTGGTGTCGCAGAAGTTGGCGCAATTCGGGTCGCTGGTGGCGGCTTGCGAGCGCCTCGACCCCACCACTGGACTCGTCACGCCTACCGACCTCCAGCGATTCTGGGACATGGTCTATATGCAGTATATATGGTCTACTGCATATGGACCATGTCCCAAAATCCCTGGAGGAGAATGCAGGTGAGCAAGTGATCACTCATTTCATGCTCTATTCTTCCTTTTAGCTTTTTGTTTATTTCAAAGTTTTATAACTTTTCTAAATAAGTAAAGCAAGTGAATATTACAATGTTTTATCTAAAAATCCGGCTCATGGTCTTCATGCAGGTGAGCAAGTGACCTCTTATTTCATGCCCCTTTCTTCTTTTTTGGTTTTCGTCTATTACTAAATTCTATTTTGTTATAAAATAAGAAGTAAGTAAATATTATAATTTTTTATCTGTTAGTCAGTTGTAAATAATGTTGACTTTGACAACTTCAGATTGTTATCGAAAGTTTTCAACTATACAGGAGATATGTTAATTTATTATAGTCAACCAAATCTAAGAAATACATTTTGACAGCTGTCAGACTTATTGCACCAAGCATGCCAACCAAAATATGGGAACGTACAATATTCGATTCTTAAAAAAATCGATATCGATTATTAAGAGTTGGTAATCATTTACAGTTTGGTTTGAATATTACCAGAATAAATTTAAAACGGATAATTTTAAATCGTAATCGTATCGTATTTGTTGTTACTGCTCATTTCTAGAGGCACAGTTATACAATTTAAGATTGAAACTAGATTAGAAATAAACTTATTCAATCAATTTCAGTACAAATAGTAAGGATGTCTTTATTTATATTAATTATTATTTGATTTTCAATAACGCAGTCAAAATTAATGTCTCTTCCAAAGTCATCCATAATCAATTTTTTTTTGTTTTTTCTACCACTTTTGTCCAAAATCATCCCTTGTGACATGGGCACATGCTTCAACGAATATATTTTTTATAGCATTCGGTGATAAACGAGCACACAGTCCACCTGATGGTAAGTGTATGCTATGGCCCATGGACATACATATTTATCCTCAATTAATAATAAAATGCAAAATATAAATGCGTTGTCACCCCTGAGGACTAAGATGAAAGTTAAAGCTGAGCAAAGACTATAAATCCGAGTCACAAAGAAGAAGACAAACACAAAATCACAAAATTACCCACAGTAAGCTCTCGAAACTGAAACAGAAACTTTAATATTCGATATAGATTATGAATAATACTTATTCCAAGTCACTTTTTTCGTTTATCACTGGTTCGTAAAACAAACCTCTGTCCTGGGAAGAACCAGCAAGAAACCCAACAGGACAATTTTTTTTTAAATAAGAGCTTAAAATCATGCGTATTACACAATTAACAACACAAAAAAATTAGAAGTAGTTTAGTAGCGATCACCTTTCCCAGGGGTTACTATCATTCATAAATTTCTTAATATTAAAATAACCCTTTTACAAACTTATTTTAATAAAGTTTTTGAATTTTGTGTACACTTACGTCAAATTTTGTATATTTTCTGGGATTTTGTTGTAAAAGTGTATGCATCGCCCCAAGAATGAATTACTGACTCTGTGGAGTCGAGTATCTGGTACCGAAATGGCGGGATATTGAAATTATGTAGTGGTTATTTTAGCACGGCCGTGTATGAGTTTTTTGCCTACACAAATTTACTTTGACAAAGTAAAAAAAAATAAACTCGTTTTATTCATGAATCATGATTCATGTAATTTAAGGAATTTTGAAAATAAAAATTAAATTAAACAAATAACACATTAAAAAAATTAATGATTCGATTATTTGAAATTTTTTACCGATTATTTGAATATTTTGCCGATTATTCGCATATCAATGAATTTTAATCATTCAAACACTACGGTAATATACGTAGCGACATATCATTGAAACGACGTCAAGTAAAAAAAGTTAATACCTACTGGTTATTTTTTAATATCTTGCTATTTTTGAAAAAATCAAATTTGAATTAGTGATAAAAAACTATACACAATGTAATGAAATATAGATAACTTCATAATTCTTCGGATTTACGTAAAAGGTTATTTTAAATTGTGTGACTACGCTGGTGCAGTTATTGCGGAATGATTAACGTGAAACGTCAAAAGGTCTTTCTTAGATTTGGTTGATTATAGTAATGTCATTAAGATAAATAAGATTACTATCATATTACTAATATTTGTATCGTCAACCTTACATTATATCTAAATGTCTACCGTCCATGCAGAATGATTCACAGCCGGTAATTATATTGATTGACTGCCTTATTTGAATCTTTGGGCAAGCAAAATATTATTGGATTTTTCTGTCAAGAAGTTTTCAGAAGCAGTCCAGAGTCAGTTATTTGGTTTCATTCACATTCACAGAGGTTTCATCCCAGTGCCTCAGAAAGCATGCAAGCAAAACCGTTGGTTCTGCACCGGACCCCTCCCTAGTCGGATCGGTTTGTCGTACCATCAGACTATGAGATTGAAGGTATAGAGAATGCACCTGTGCTTGCACACATATTTGTGCACTTTAGTCCAGTGGGCCTAGACAAAATCCAAGCGTTTTCCTCTCACGCTAAGGACTTGACGTTAGCGTGTTGAAATTGGTAGACAAGTTACACATAGAACGCTGAACGCCCATTCCGCAGCGTTACCCGAAACACTCTTTAATTAGTCTATGGAATAGTGTGTAGCACGTGTCAATTGCGTCTGCATCTGTCACTGTCAAACGCAAACGCGCGCTTAGAATATTATTTAAAAGTGTTGTGTTGAAAGTTATTGAAGTGTTTTATTACAAAAAAGTTAGTGAAGACATTGTAAGAACTGCGATATGGATTCTAGACTTCGTGCGAGTCCCGAACAATTTAGTTTGCTAATAGAATTTATGGAAAGGTAGGTTTTTTCCAAATGTTTTCATTTATTCCAATTTTTGTTCCCTGTATTTACGCGAACACTACACATTGAAATAATACTAGTTTTTACGAAATTTATCCCCCCCGTGACCATGGGTGCTGTAAAGCACTCGAAACGTCGGGTATTTAAAAAGTTAAATATACGCGATAAATTCCGTAAAAACTAGCATTATTTCAATTTTGTTCCCTGTTTTATTTATATATTGGACCTACTTGAGAATATGGAATGCATAATGTAAACAACCTCACAATGGTGCACTTATATGATTATTGTTCTTACATTTTGTTATTCTTATAAAGATAAACTCTATTTCAGACCTTAATACTTGTTTCTTAGTATGGGTATTTGAATGTTAATAGCAAACTTTGTTTACTGGCTCTTATTCTCACTGTACACTAATCTTATGAATATTATTTTTAGCCATGGTGATCTTTCAAGGCCACAAGTTGGACTTCAAGGAAGGGTAAGGAGTGAACGCCTGTGGCAAGAGTTAGGTGACATTTTAAACTCAGTGGGTGGATGTGGTGTTAACAAAACTTCCGACAAATGGAAAAGGGTAATAAGATATTAATTATTAAGCAAAGTATGTACTGCTGTTGCATAGACCTATGAAGACCATTTATTTTAATGTATTATTTCATATTTTGTGCTACAGGTATGGTCTGACTGGAAAACCAAAACAAAAAAGAAAGCCTCCCTTATAAATCGGGACATTCATGGCACTGGTGGTGGGTCTGGTAGGGGAAAACCATTAAGTCGACTTGAGGAAAGGGTGTTACGTGTAATTGGGGTCACCGCAATTACTGGAAGTCAAGCCATACAAGAAGCAGGCTTTCAAGTAAGTGAACCCTTCATATATTAATGTTTTTTCTTGTTTTGCTGATTTCATAAAAAACTTGCATATTTCTGGTCAACAACTGATTATATTTTTGTAATTAGGAACCATCTCAACCCCAAGTGAGCAATACAGCTGATACAGCAGGGAGGATGTCATCACCAGCAGAAATTGAGCTCTTGGCATTACCATCAGCTGCAGAAGATACACCCATAGCAGTGCCAGCAAATGTAACATCTCCACCAGCACATCCTGTCAGTCCTGTGCCAAGACCTTCAAATAGTAGAACTATACAAGGAGGTAATTATTACAAAATTAATTTTGTAAAGGTTAATACCTTAATTATTGAATATTCATTATTTTGAGTTATTGAAACTACCAACATTATTAAATAACTTCATTGCCACCATCACCACCATATTTCGTTAGTTTTCTTTAGTATATTATAGCTTTCATCTGTGTTCTCAGAAAGGTCGCCGGTATCTGCCGGCCCTTCTACACCTCGTCATCGCCATCTCAGACAGCGAAGACTGCGACAAACACCATTTGACCGAGCCACCAGCGAGTTTGTAGCAATAGAGGAGAATCTGTTGCGTTTTGAAAGGGAGAGGGATGTGCGTCAACACGAGCTTGAAACTGAACGACTCAAAATAGAAGCACAACGTCTGCAACTTGATAGAGAGCGCGTTCGGGTTGAAGAAGTCCGCACCCGTGTAGAGGCAGACCTATGTGACTACATCCAAGAATTAAATTTAAAAATAACATCTCTTATGTCACTATTGGAGACTCGTGATTTGAGACCGAATTAGCATTTAAGTAACATAATTTATTCTACCCCTAATGTAATTTCATTTGACTGTGCTATGTAATTAATATTACTTATATTTTATTTGTTTTCATTTTTTAATTTAGACTTAATAGTGCATAGTGTATAATTCTAATAATGAAAAATATTTTAAAGAAAATAAGTACCTTTTTAATTTTGATCTTTTACTTGAAAATGAAATTTTGTTACATTGATTTCACAAATTACTTATCACATATCATTACACTAACAACTAAGAAATACTTTAGTACAAGCACTAGACAAAATTACAATTTAAGTAACATGATATTCTCCCATAAACTATGACATGTATTCCATGCAGAATGTAATTAAATTTTATTTGTTTATAATCATATTCATTTAAAGCTAGGTACAAAACATAGACCCTGGGCACAGCAAAAGGATAAAATTAAAATTACAAAAACAAAATTATAACTATATCTACTACTTACTAACATAAAATTAATTGTACAATAAAATTTGGATAGTGTATAATTTTATTAATGGAACATATCTGACAGAAAACCTTGACCTTTAATTTTGATATACACCTTCAAATTAGAAATAAGGTTTTGTTACATTGCTTTCACGAATCACATAACGTAAGTCCCTAAATTAAAAAAAAAAAGAATAAAAAATCACACAACACATACCATTATACACTAAAAACTCAGAAATACTTTTAAAGTCTTGATAAAAGATTATTCAGTACTGCCCTGCCTTGGAGTAGTAGCTCACTTTGATCACTAGCAGCACCAACGCTATCAGATGCATTGTCAGGTTAAGCATCATCTTCTTCTACTTCCATAATAGATGGAGGAGGTAAATTGGCCTCTAAAACCATATTGTGTAACACACAACAGGCAAGTACAATTTTCCCAGCAACCTCAGGATGATAATGCAAGGTCCTGTGTCTTAATAAACACCTCCAACGTGACTTTAGCAATCCAAAACAGCGCTCTATACAGTTTCTTGCATGTACATGTGCGTCGCTGAGTATATGTATCTTCAACTGAGCCAGGAACTGCATTTAATATGGGAGTCATCAGCCATGGCCGCTGAGGATATCCAGAATCACCTAAAAATACATAAATAAATATTTGCATTAGGTAATAATTATTTGCTACGCAACAATATAATTCTTTGTGAATAAAATGTTTTAACAAAAGTGATCTAAAAATATACCATATTATTTATTTACCTACCTAATAACCACACTTGTTCTTCATTTTGGTGCAATTCTCGCATAAATGTTTCCATTCTGCTAGATGCCCATATGAATGAGTCATGGGTAGCTCCGCCAAACTTTGGATTTACATTAGTAATTTTTAAATTACTGTTGCATACCTGTTGACTGGAAAAAATTATGGAACATGGATAATAATCCTATGAATATGTTTCTGTAAGTACTAATTAAAGCTATTTTTACATAATTGAGCCACAAACAAATGCAAACTTACTATTTGTACATTCAATGAATGATAACCTTTCCTATTAAAAAATAAATGTTCTTCAACTGGTGGCTTGACTATTGCCACATAGGTACAGTCTATGCATCCAACTATACCCGGAAGTCTAAATCGCCTCTGAAACCTGTAATTTTGGAAAATATAATACTTAATTATTTTGTTTTTAAAAGGACAGATGTTTTTACTAGTATTTTGAACCTAGTGTGCATGAAAGGCTCAATGAGGCATTTTCTAAGTACCTATCGGTCTTAAGGAAGGTATAGTGTTTAGTAGATCAAAGAATATGCTACTAATAAAAAGTATTTCAAGTATGTATTTATACTTAAATACTTTTGTCATATAACTTACTCAAGTCTTATTTGGGTTCGTTGTTGTTGCGAACTTGGAAACAGAATCCATTTATTTAGAATGGCTGGATGGCTCAATGCTTCAACAACTTGACGTATACACCTACTAGTTGTTCTTTGTACCAAATGCTGCGTTAGTCCAACAATGCGTTGATATGAACCCGTAGCTAAAAAGCTAAGAGTACACAAAACCTGAAACATGATTTCATTGAGAAATGACATTAAGTACTTAACTCTGTTGAAAGGTTATACGTAGGTACAAAACTTACCTTGATTTCTAAACTAATTTCCCGGGTACCTTTCAATGACGTTAAACGCCGAAGATCATCACAAAGACGCCAAAAACTTTGTTTATCTAACCTAAAACGATGAACAAATTCCAATTCCTCCATCTCCACAATTTGCACCATTTTACGACGATTTACTCTTGTTTGACGTCTTTGCAATGTTGTTTCATTATTAGCTGTCCATAATAATCTCAAAGTATGCATTTTCACTAATTAATTTGAATTAAAGACACACAAAATATCACTGTTTACTCGTTTCTAGCGTTAGCGTCTGGGTCCGATCTCCCGCTAATATAGCGTGTTGCGGAAACGTCAAAATATCATTGGCGTTTGTCAAAAGTGGCAATTGTCTACCATTTTAATGAACATTTTTGTCGTTAGCGTGTCACGCTCACTTCGACGTTCCTTTCCGCATGAGGAATAATGACTTTGTCTACCAATTAAGCAGCAATCACGTGACATCTGGTTAGCAAATGTCAACTCCATACAATTAGATTTTTCCGTTGGCGTTAACGCTTACAGAAAACGGATTTTGTCTAGGCCCCCTGTTCTGCACAATTAGCTAGTCTACATTGAGATTGACCGCAGTGACTGAAATTAGGTCTGGAGGATATTATTATTATACTGGTTCACCCTTGATCTTTTTATTTATTTGAAGTCAGTTTATGATTTTCGTTAATAGTAAAATTTTGACCCTTTTTAGTGGAATATCTTGTGATATGTATATGTGTATATTCTTACACCCCCCCCTGCACTGCTTGAGAATATCCACTACCCCATATCATTTGAAGTCATTCCTTATTCATTACTTAATTGAAGTTCGTTAAAAAGAGGCTTTATTTCGCATGGCGGCCACAGTTAGTTACCAATAAATCTAGAGTGCACAACAATCAAAGCCCAAGTTCAATATCCATCCGTGTCTGGACGCAGCAACAACCTTGTGATCCTAGTGGTTTCTTACCTTTGGCTATAGCAATATAACTAAAATATTATTTAGTTATAAATAGCAGCTGTGTTTTGTATGGTGAGTGTAGAAAACATCTAAGTTCGCAGGGGTGACAACACTTGCATTTTGATCTTTAGTTGAAGATGTCTATGGGCCACAGCATTCACTTACCACAAGTGGACTGTATGCTCGTTTGTCACACAGTGCTATATAAAAAAATACCAAAGTTACAGCACAGTAACAATCAAAAATGATCAATTTTTGTTTTTGCAGAAAATTTCGGCAAGAACTTTCAAGTTCACATTTTTAACCTGATGATGATGATTGGATTGAGGAAACCCCAGTGATACAAAAGAAAAGAGCCCCTAAAACAGCTAAAAATAACAGAAAGCCTGCAGCGACTAGTCGCCTTCGTGATCTTATAGCTGGTGAGCAATTGCCTTTTTCAGATATTTATTTATTTCATTTAAAATTTACCTATTACAAAATAATACAAAGGACGGACACAATTTCTGTATACATTTATGTAGTGATATAATTTGATGAATGTGTAGCACATGCATACAGAAAGAAATAAACAAAATTTGGTCATAATTACACAAATTATTATTTTTATTCAACTACATACTATGTACAGTATATGATAAATACATCTTGTATGTAATAAGTACTTTTTAGTTTTGGTTTTAAGTACTTTGGCCAGTTCATCAACCGCATCGTTGCCTCTAGATCTTATACAATATGTAACATAATTAACGCACATCCTCAGACACCCCAATTAGTACATTATGTTATTATCATAATACATACACTGAATTTTTAATTAAACATCTTTATGCACTGTTTATTTATCAAATTAGTTCTACTAATTCCGCAAGAATGTTGTGGTCACAGTACAAATCCACGAACGTAAAGACTTTAACGTGCTTGAAATAAAGTTCACTTTTCTTTATTTTTATTGAATGACAGAATTAGTAATAATACAAATAAAACTGCACTCTTAAAAGTCCTATAGCCTTAAGTTACGGTCCATTTCAGTGATGAAGTGTGACTGTAATTTACGTAGTTTTAATTATTTTTGGGATAAAAATATTACCTATATTAAAAATGATAGGAATCGATTCAGTAAATGATTCTGAACAAACTACTTTCTCAAAGTGCGTTAATTATGTTACGTGTTGTATATGTAAATGATAATGAGTACTCATTTTTATATATTGTATACATATAATAACATAAACATAAACATTCACACCTGTCACCCAGAGGGGTAGGCAGAGACTACGGACTTCCATTTGGCACGATCCTGACATACCTCTCTCGCGTCCTCCACATCCATATACCTACGCGAACGTGCTGGTCAGTTAAGGGTTACTTTTAATTTGGCGCATATATCGCTATGGTGAGCTTTAGCCTAAGCAGTTCACTTCTGCAACATAAATTTGCGCGATTGTGGTGGCGTAAGATCATATTATATTGTAAGAGTTGATAAGGTGATACACTGCAGTTGAGTTGCGGCTATATTATGGTTGTAGCATGAAGGGGTCTGCTAAACCAGGGAGGACCAAGCCCTAACTGACTACCAGCCGTAAAATAGCAGCTTAATAGTATTGTTTTTTTTTTTTATAGGATAGGGTGACAATCGAGCACACAGTCCACCTGATGGTAAGTGGTTGCTGTGGCCCATAGACATCTACATCTATCCTCGATTACGAATCAAAATGCAGATGTGTTGTCACCCGTGAGGACTAAGATGGAATGCCTCGTTTCCAGTAAAATGGGTCGCCGGTTCTCTACACTCACCATACGAAATACAGCAGCATTAAGCTACTATTTCACGCTGGTATTCTGTGAGAGCGTGGTCCTACCCCGGTCGAGCCGACCCATTCGTGCTACAACTATACATCTAATATAACTGCAGCATGGCTCTACCACATAAAAAATTGTGCTTCTTATGGTAAGTGATCCGGAGACCCTTATTACTGGAATTGAGGCATTCCATTTTAGTCCTCAAGGGTGAGAACGCATCTGCATTTTGATAGTTTGAGCCACACCATATTACCATCAGTTGGAATGTGTGCTTTTTTGTCACTTTTAATTGTTATTTTTTTTTTAAATAATTATATATTTATCTAAGAAGGTTGAATTATGAAATAATAATGATTAAATGTTTTTTATGTCCAGCAGCAAGAAAAGCAAAGAAAAATGAAGATCCTCCAACAGTACCAGGGGAAGAAGATCCAACAGCAGCAACTTTTAAAGCAGGTTTCTTCTGCGTGCGGTCTCCAATCACAACTCCGCTTGCTCGGTGTACTGCGAGCAAGAGGAGTTCTGATTGGAGACCGCAACAAATCCAGTTTGTTAAAGGTTGTTCTCTCTAGTGAAGCGAAAAGGGCTGCTTCAGTTTCTAAGGTAAATGCCTATTGCTTTCAGTCATTGAAATTTACCATCATGATTTTTTAGTGTCACATAAATTATCAATTTATATATTTTTAAAATTAAGATAGGAAAATTTTCAATTAGCCTTCTCCAAAACTGCCTTATTTTTTTATAGGGTAAGGATGACAAACTAGCGCCCAGTCCACCTGATGGTAAGTGGATGCTGTGGCCCATAGACATCTACATTCGATTAAGAATCAAAATGCAGATGCGTTGTCACCCCTGAGGACTAAGATGGAATACCTCGATCCCAGTAAAACGGGTCTCCGGTTCTCTACACTCACCACACAACAGTTGGCACAATGGCGGTTTCAATTGTAGCCTAGAATTCACAGCTATTTAACTTTACGTTCTGTACCTTTAACTATTACGCTAATGTCGCTTAACTATGGTTTTAGTGATATAGTAGTAAGAAGATATCATACATGGTTTGGCCTTTTTTAAAAGATATATACCTAGTCAGGTCATAAATTCTGTCACACGTTTAATATAAAATAATTGAAACAAGTTTATTCATTATGTAATCATTTATATAGCAAAATGAACTTAACAAAACATAGATTCTTATGACACTAAAGTTTATTTAAAATGACTCCGTGATTGAATACAGTTCAATCTGCGCGGCCAGTCGTCTATCGCAGCACGAACGAGGTCCATGTCAATATCGGCGGCTGCCTTAATCAAGGATGTCTTGAGTGACTCCAAATTGGGATGAGGCTTTGAGCACGCCTTTTCCTCCAAGTGTTACCATATCTTGCAATCTAACGGATTCAAATCTGTACTGGAGGAGGGCCAGTCTTCGTGCCGGATGAAGTCGATTTCACGCGCCGCCAGCCAGTCTTGTGTGCTCTTCGCTCTATGAGCTGGCGCAGAATCTTGTTGGAATACCCAGTACCTGTTATTGAACATGGTATGAGAAACAGGTTCCACAAGGTTCGTCAGGACTGTATTTTAATACACAACTGCATTCGTTTTTACACCTTTCTCACAAAAATGTACCTCTGTTAAGCCCCAATAAGAAACTCCCAACCATACCATGAGCGAGGATGGAAAATGACCTCGTTGGACACGCGGAATACGGTTACTCGCTTCTTCACTACTGCACTTCTACACTACTACACCTTATCATTTTGTTTGTTGTAGCTCTCTTCTACGGTAAAATTTTTTCATCCGAAAAAAGAATTTCCCGATATTTTTTCCCGCGTACCGCTTCAACAAAGCGCGGCATCTCTTCAGTCTCAGGTCCATAAGACGATGTCCTGTTTTTCTTCGATGTGCCCGAAGCCCTAAGTCTTCATTTAACACCCTTTTCACTGTGGTTCTGCTTAAACCCATCTGAAGGGCCATCAGTTTCTGCTTACGTTTGGGATTTCTTTGAATTCGCGCCTTCATAGCTTTTATCACTGCTGTAGTCCTAACAGACCGAGGGCGACCACTTCTTGACCTGTCATTTACACTAGAGTCTTCATTGTTAACTGACGAGCATGTTCGCGTAGGTATATGGATGTGGAGGACGCGAGAGAGGTATGTCAGGATTTTTTTAGACTGTAGACAAGCTAGGGAGGCCCTGCCTGAAATAAACAGTCATCTAACTAAGGTTCTGATGAGACTGAACAAGCCACAGATCAGGATAGTAACAAGTGCTATCACAGGACATGGCTCTTTTAACAAACATTTGTTTACGATTGGTGTTGATGATAGCCCCCTGTGCAGGATATGCATGAGAGAGGAAAAAACGGCGGCTCACGTGTTGCTGACATGTCCAGCAGTCGCTTCATATAGGGCTAAACATCTCGGCATGCCGGGATCGCTCCCCGAAGTTGCTTGCAACATCAAAGGACTGTTGAACTTCTTCGGGGAGATATCATGGCTCGAATAATCACATTATTCCTGCCCACACGCAAAATACGCGCTTAGACGTGGAGTTGCGGAAAACAGCCCGTCGGAAACTAAACTAAAAAGTACTTATTACATACAAGATGTATTTATCAGTATACTGTACATAATAATATGTAGTTGAATAAAAATAATAATTTGTGAAACTATGACCAAATTTTGTTTATTTCTTTCTGTATGCATACTACTACATTCATCAAATTATATCACTACATAAATGTATACAGAAATTGTGTCCGTCCTTTGTATTATTTTGTAATAGGTAAATTTTAAATGAAATAAATAAATATCTGAAAAAGGCAATTGCTCACCAGCTATAAGATCTCGAAGGCGACTAGTCGCTGCAGGCTTTCTGTTATTTTTAGCTGTTTTGGGGACTCTTTTCTTTTGTATCACTGGGGTTTCCTCAATCCAATTGCGGGCGCGAAGTTCTTCGAGTTTTTTTGAAGTTCATGGCACATTTTCAACCTGATGATGATGAGAAATATGATTTATTAAATCACAAATTGTGCCGAAATTTTCTGCAAAAACAAAAATTGATCATTTTGGACTGTTACTGTGCTGTAAATTTGGTATTTTTTTTATATAGCACTGTGTGACAAACGAGCATACAGTCCACTTGTGGTAAGTGAATGCTGTGGCCCATAGACATCTTCAACTAAAGATCAAAATGCAAGTGTTGTCACCCCTAACTAAGATGTGATTTCTACACTCACCATACAAAACACAGCAGCATTGCGCTGTTATTTTACACTGGTATTGTGTGAGAGCGTGGTCTTGTGCCAGTCGAGCCGACCCATTCGTGTTACAACTATAATATAGATAGATGTAGCGTGTTTCTAAGACGTAAAACAACTTGTCTCTGAAAATGCATCTTAAACCAATTCCTTGAATATGTGTTAAGTTTAATAGTGTGAGGAGTGAGAGCCTCTATTTTATCACGTACCTTACTGCACCTGTTACACCAAGGATCTACAAGCGGTACGTAGACGATACTTTCACAATTTTACCATCAGACAAAGTAACTGCATTTTTAGAACATCTTAATTCCATAAACGCTAAAATTCAATTTACTATGGAGTTAGAGGCAAATAATTCCTTACCTTTCCTAGATGTATTAGTCATCCGAAATCGTGTGTCGTCTAGTGTCGTCTACGTACTGCTTGTAGAACCTTGGATTTATGGGAGAACTAAGCAGGGCTTTCTCCTTAAAGTCTTCCATGAATATGTCGGCGACAATGGGAGATACAGGTGAGCCCATCGCCACACCATCTACTTGCTTGTAGAACTCCTCCTTCCACAATAGGTAGCCAGATGTAAGGCAGTGTCTGAGTAATACTGCATATTCTACGGGCATGTTGTTTTCTTCCAGCCTTCTAGTTACAATTGAGATGCAGTCTTCAACAGGTAAGCATGTAAACAATGACTGCACATCAAAACTGACCATAGTTTCATTGTCTGCCAGATGTAGGTCTTTAATCTCGCTGACAAAATGGTAGGAATCCTTTATGTGTGCTCTTGTATGTCCCCTGAGTGGTGAGAGTATTTTCGCTAAGTGTTGAGCCAATCTGTAAGTTGGTGAATCGATTTGGCTCACTATGGGACGTAATGGAGCATTGGGCTTGTGTATTTTTGGTAACCCATACAATTTTGGTGATTTGGCCCACGTAGGTATTATCCATTTTACGTCCAGATTTAATTTTTCGGAGTGTTTCTTTATGAGGTCACTAGTTGTTTTTAGTGTGCTATTTGTTGGTTCGTTTTTAACCTTTTTATAAGTACTTACATCCGACAAAAGTTCTTGTATTTTAGAATTATAATCTGACGTATCCATGACTACCGTGGCGTTTCCCTTATCTTAACTATGACATATGGACGTTGAACATCTCAGTCCTGCCCGTGATCATGAGTGCTGTAAAGCGTTCAAAACGTCGTCGGGTATTTAAAAGTTAAATATACGCGATAAATTCCGTAAAAACTAGTATTATTTCAATTATTATACTGGTTCACCCTTGAAGCCAGCAACCCGACTCCAGACTGTGTGGAAATTATTTGATCTTTTTATTTATTTGAAGTCAGTTTATGATTTTCGTTAATAGTAACATTTTGACCCTTTTTAGTGGAATATCTTGTGATATGTATATGTGTATATTCTTACACCCCCACTGCACTGCTTAAGAATATCCACTACCCCATATCATTTGAAGTCATTCCTTATTCATTCCTTAATTGAAGTTCGTTAAAAAGAGGCTTTATTTCGCATGGCGGGCACAGTTAGTTACCAATGAATCTAGAGTGCACAACAATCAAAGCCCAAGTTCAATATCCATCCGTGTCTGGACGCAGCAACAACCTTGTGATCCTAGTAGTTTCTTACCTTTGGCTATAGCAATATAACTAAAATATTATTTAGTTATAATTGTACGTGATAAAATAGAGGCTCTCACTCCTCACACTATTAAACTTAACACATATTCAAGGAATTGGTTTAAGATGCATTTTCAGAGACAAGTTGTTTTACGTCTTAGAAACACGCTACATCTATCTATATTATAGTTGTAACACGAATGGGTCGGCTCGACTGGCACAAGACCACGCTCTCACACAATACCAGCGTAAAATAGCAGCGCAATGCTGCTGTGTTTTGTATGGTGAGTGTAGAAATCACATCTTAGTTAGGGGTGACAACACTTGCATTTTGATCTTTAGTTGAAGATGTCTATGGGCCACAGCATTCACTTACCACAAGTGGACTGTATGCTCGTTTGTCACACAGTGCTATATAAAAAAAAATACCAAATTTACAGCACAGTAACAGTCCAAAATGATCAATTTTTGTTTTTGCAGAAAATTTCGGCACAATTTGTGATTTAATAAATCATATTTCTCATCATCATCAGGTTGAAAATGTGCCATGAACTTCAAAAAAAACTCGAAGAACTTCGCGCCCGCAATTGGATTGAGGAAACCCCAGTGATACAAAAGAAAAGAGTCCCCAAAACAGCTAAAAATAACAGAAAGCCTGCAGCGACTAGTCGCCTTCGTGATCTTATAGCTGGTGAGCAATTGCCTTTTTCAGATATTTATTTATTTCATTTAAAATTTACCTATTACAAAATAATACAAAGGACGGACACAATTTCTGTATACATTTATGTAGTGATATAATTTGATGAATGTAGTAGTATGCATACAGAAAGAAAAAAACAAAATTTGGTCATAATTTCACAAATTATTATTTTTATTCAACTACATATTATTATGTACAGTATACTGATAAATACATCTTGTATGTAATAAGTACTTTTTAGTTTAGTTTCCGACGAGCTGTTTTCCGCAACTCCACGTCTAAGGGCGTATTTTGCGTGTGGGCAGGAATAATATTTCGAGCCTGTATCTCCCCGAAGCAGTTCGTCCTTTGATGTTGCAAGCAACTTCGGGGGAGCGATCCCGGCATGCCGAGATGTTTAGCCCTATATGAAGCGACTGCTGGACATGTCAGCAACACGTGAGCCGCCGTTTTTTCCTCTCTCATGCATATCCTGCACAGGGGGCTATCATCAACACCAATCGTAAACAAATGTTTGTTAAAAGAGCCATGTCCTGTGATAGCACTTGTTACTATCCTGATCTGTGGCTTGTTCAGTCTCATCAGAACCTTAGTTAGATGACTGTTTATTTCAGGCAGGGCCTCCCTAGCTTGTCTACAGTCTAAAAAAATCCTGACATACCTCTCTCGCGTCCTCCACATCCATATACCTACGCGAACATGCTCGTCAGTTAAGGGTTACTCTTAATTTGGCGCATATATCGTCAATTTGGTCGATAAGCTTTAGCCTAAGCAGTTCACTTCTGCAACATAAATTTGCGTGATTGTGGTGGCGTAAGATCATATTATATTGTAAGAGTTGATAAGGTGATACACTGCAGTTCAGTTGCGGCTATATTATGGTTGTAGCATGAAGGGGTCTGCTAAACCAGGGAGGACCAAGCCCTAACTGACTACCAGCCGTAAAATAGCAGCTTAATACTATAGTGCTTTTTATGGTAAGTGATCCGGAGACCATTATTACTGGAATTGAGGCATTCCATCTTAGTCCTCAAGGGTGAGAACGCATCTGCATTTTGATTATTAATCAAAGATTTTTGATAGTTTGAGCCACACCATATTACCATCAGTTGGAATGTATGCTTTTTTTGTCACCTTTAATTGTTATTTTTTTAAATAATTATATATTTATCTAAGAAGGTTGAATTATGTAATAATAATGTCAAATTAATTAAATGTTTTTTATGTCCAGCAGCAAGAAAAGCAAAGAAAAATGAAGATCCTCCAACAGTACCAGGGGAAGAAGATCCAACAGCAGCAGCGCAGAAGAACCTGCTTTAAAAATTTTTGTTGTTGAGCAAAAACTTTTAAAGCAGGTTTCTTCTGCGTGCGGTCTCCAATCACAACTCCGCTTGCTCGCGTACTGCGAGTTCCCTTTTCGCTTCACTAGGCAGAACAGCCTTTAACAAATCCAGTTTGTTAAAGGCTGTTCTCTCTAGTGAAGCGAAAAGGGCTGCTTCAGTTTCTAAGGTAAATGCCTATTGCTTTCAGTCATTGAAATTTACCATCATGGTTTTTTTAGTGTCACATAAATTATCAGTTTATATATTTTTAAAATGAGATAGGAAAATTTTCAATTAGCCTTCTCCAAAACTGACTTATTTTTTTTATAGGGTAAGGGTGACAAACTAGCGCACAGTCCACCTAATGGTAAGTGGATGCTGTGGCCCATAGACATCTACATTCGATTAAGATTCAAAATTCAGATGCGTTGTCACCCCTGAGTACTAAGATGGAATACCTCGATGCCAGTAAAACGGGTCTCCGGTTCTCTACACTCACCACACAACAGTTGGCACAATGGCGGTTTCAATTGTAGCCCGGAATTCACAGCTATTTAAGTTTACGTTCTGTACCTTTAACCATTACGCTAATGTCGCTTAAGTATGGTTCTAGTGGTATAGTAGTAAGAAGATATCATACATGGTTTGGCCTTTTTTAAAAGATATATATACAATATACAGCCGTTTGTTGGTCATCAGAGGTCTATCTCTTAACAGGTATTATAATATATAATAGGTTAGCATTTAGAGAAAATCCACCTCTCCCAAATTAGAATAATTTTCCATAATCAGCACTTGGCGAATAGGCTAACACAGTTCCAGATGTCTAGCATTTCTTCTGCTATTCCATTTCTTGATAATTAAAGTAATTTTTCAGGCAGGCATTGGCACGTGGTAGAGCCACGCTGCAGCTATATTATGGTTGTAGCATGAATGGGTCGGCTCGACCGGGGAAGGACCACGCTCTCACAGAATACTAGAATACCAGCGTAAAATAGCAGCTTAATGCTTCTGTGTTTTGTATGGTGAGTGTAGAGAACCGGAGACGCGTTTTACTGGAATTGAGGCATTCCATCTTAGTCCTCAGGGGTGACAACGCATCTGCATTTTGATTCTTAATCGATAAATGTAGATGTCTATGAGCCACAGCATCCACTTACCATCAGGTGGACTTTGTACTTGTTTGTCATCATTATTCTATTAAAAAAAAAAGATCCACTACCGCACCTCACTTTATTAATCTTATCATATAACTTTCTTAATTTTTTCATATTGGTATCTTAAGAGGCGAATAGGTAAATGGCCAAAACACTTTTGCCATCTTGTGTATCTCAAATATAAAATACTCAAACTGATGGAGGTATATCTCGTACTGCAATTATGCTATCACCAATCCCAAGTGAATGGGGCAATTACGGATTTTAATTATTTATAGAATAAGCGTGACAAACGAACACACAGTCCACCTGATGGTAAGTGAATGCTGTGCCTCATAGACATCTATAATAGTAATAATATCCTCTAGACCGAATTTCGGCCACGCCGGCCAGCCTCAACGGAGGCTAGCCATCGGCGCAGAACAGGATTATAGTGCCCAAGTGTATGCGCAAGCACAGGTGCACTCTTTATTCCCTCACTCTCATAATCCGACGGAACGGTAAACCGACACGACCGGAGAGAGATCACCGCAGGACCAACGGCTTTACGTGCTTTCCGAGGCATGGGGGTGAGACACCGCCAATTTCCTGACTCCGGGCAGCTACTGAGAATTTCTTTACAGAAAAACTCAATAATTGATTTTTTGGCCCGACCCGGGATTTGAACCCAGGACCTCATGATTAGCAGTCGCACTACTACAACCACTAGACCAACGAGGCAGTTACCTTGACTTGACTGCCCTGCTGCCTGAGCTTGCTCTCCTGCAGATTGAGATTCATGCTCGACTCAATTAAGGAATCACTGGTCTTATGCATGATCTCAGATATCAAGCGTCCGCTACACACTTTTGATAAAAATTATATAGTGGAATTACCCTCCAGAGAAGACTGGCTGAATGGCCAGGTTATCTGTGAGGTCGGTAGCCTCATATGGTATACTGATGGGTCTAAAATGGGCCTCGACGTAGGCTTTGGAATATACGGGGAACGACCCAAATTCAAACTTAGTATGAATTTGGGTAGATACTCTCCTAGACCTCTTATCTTCCAGGCAGAAATTTTCCCCATACTTCGGTGTGCAGAAATCAATCTGCAAAAACACCACGTCAACCATATAATTTACATAAACTCTGATAGTCAAGCACCACTGCTAGCGCTGAGGTCAAACTTAGTGAACTAGAAGCTAGTTGGAGACTGCGTGAACCGTTTAAACGCCTTGGGATTTAACAACAGGGTCGTTTTAAGATGGGTTCCGGATCATGAGGGTATTGTAGGCAACGAATATGCCGACAAACTTTCACGGGAGGGCTCAAAGTGCACACAATTTGGACCAGAGCTATTTTGTGGAATCTCAAGAAGCCTAGCCCGATTGACCCTTGAAACTCTTTATAACAAAAACACTTAAGATCTGGTCTGACACCACGCTTAAAACATTCTAAAACCTTAATCAGGGCTTTTGATCGTAAATTCGCTTCAAAGCCCTGAGATTAAGTAAAAATAAATTGCGCATTATGGCAAAAGCCCTAACTGGACACTGTTGTCTTAAAAAGCACATGTCCATCCTGGGACTGAGCAACTCAAGGATGTGTCGGTTCTGTTCCATAACGGAAGAAACGCCTCTACACATCGTAACTGATTGCGGATCCTTAACCTTTTGAGCGCCAAAGTCGCCTATACTTGACCAGCACCTGCGGACCCTGAGCGCCAACGACGTCTACAGTTGACAAAAAACCCGGCCCACAAAAATATGAAATATAGATATTGGAAAATTATTACTGGTATTTTAATTCCACACTCCTCAAAAAAGAATAACCCAGCGACACGCGAGTATAAAAAGTTTCCTAGAGCCACAAGTACTAAGAAACATTGAACTAAAAAATAGATTTTTATCTAAGCAAATATGCCTATGTTCAACATGCCAAAGTCGTCTATGTTTGACCGCTAATGTTGTAATGCGTTAGGCGTGGATTTATTGAAAACTATTCAAAATTAAACGCAAAGGTGTTATTTTTAAATTATTATTGATATTTGAATAAAACAAAATGTAAGAAACATAAAACTATCAGCTACATAAATAAAAGAAAATTTCAGGAGTCATTTATTGCATAAAAACCAACGAAAGTTATTTTGGTATATCGATATATCAACTCTTGGCAACACTATTTTTTCGTAGGTATTTTTGTTTACTTTTCGCTTTGGCGTACAGGACACGGTAATGCGTTTTTGGCGTGGCGCTTAAAAGGTTAATGCGCAAACGTAACACTCATCTGGGAAACTATGTACTCCGCCCAGAAGAAGTGAAATTGCTCACGGCTAAGCAACTCTTTCTATTCATTGAAGACATAAGGCTTAGCCGTGAACTATAGCCATAGCAGCGATCACAATAGATCTTCTAGGTCACAGTGATACTGGTCTCTTTCCCTAGACCTGCATAGCTGCTCGCACATAATAAATATAAATATAGGTTGTAGGAAATAAATGTCTTCAGTGTTTAAAAAGTTACTTTATTTTCGACTAAAGTTTTCCATTATTTCTTGCTCCTCTCCTAAAGTGAATAGATTTTCTTCTTTTCACATCACACCTCTTACTTTCCACTCGTTTCCAGTAACAAGGGTCTTGGGTAATATCTTGGTATTTTTCTTGATTAATCGAATTAATCCATAATTATTTCACAGGATACTACATCGTTAGCAATGCTGCGAGCATCAAAAATTGGTAGAAGTTTGAAGAATGATGACACAGCATTAGAGGCAATAGAGGTATTAAATTATATAACATGTAACAAAAAACCTGTGGTTCCCTTTAAGTACGTTGTAGGAATCTGTACTCAAACATATATAATTTACTTTATTTCAGAAAACTTAACCATAAAAATAAAATTTAATTTAAACACATTTTTATTGGCAAATTGTAAGTGGGTTTATTTTACCTCTGCATAGGTCAGGGACTAAGAATATTGTCAAAGACCCCACTTTACCAATATGCATGTCAATTAGTTTAGATGTTAATACTTAATAGCATTCACAAGGTTGAATTTAGAAGCTACTGACCTATCTTGGCCGGGCTGAAGTGAAGGCTTTTACGCATGTAAAGACGTTCGTCGATAGAGATGTGCCACTTCATATTCGCTCCTAACATTGGAAACAGTTTATTTTGTTTATATCGATTATTGAAAATTATTATAATGAAAATATCTTTATGTATTTCAGTAAAACAATGGTGTATATCTAAATCTATTAAAGAATTACAATAAACATTTTGAATATTTAATAAATACACCATATTTGCAGGGACATCAAATTTTTTCAGAAACCCCAAAAATAATATGTACGTAATAGTGTAAAATCTACTTCATTTAAAAGGCTCCGCAGACTACAGACTTTCTATAGGCCGATAGTTTGGTCGGCTTCTTAATCAGTATGAAGAGGTATGCAAATGCGCACATTACAGGGATTCCGTAGTGGCCGAAAAAACGTTTGATGGGCTTTACAATTGCCTTCAAACTAAACTATCGGCCGACTGCTTGATCAGTACGGCACTCTTCCCCGCCCGCACACTCGCTGATTATTTCATCGGCCGAGTCGTACGATAGCTTCAGTTTCGCTCCGCGTTAGATGCGGGTAAGGCCATGTGCGTGGGTGATCGTGCATAATGGATTTTAATTTGTCGCTGCTTGTCGAAACGTATATTGAAAACCTAATTCAGGAAATTGAAAAAAGACCAGCGACCTATAAAAAGAACTTATAAGAGTACTCTGATTCTTCTTCTCCTTTGTTTTCTTAGTTTTCTTAGTTTTCTTTTCCAAATAAACAATAATAATATTTCTGGGCACCATTCCACGCGTCTGATCTCGTCACCAACTCCACGGAATGCATCAATCGGAAGATTGTTGGTTGGCTAGTTTGCGCACCCACGTTCAACCCAATTGTGTTGTTGGCCCAGTGTGCGCACTAGGAGCCCAATCCGATCAAACTATCGGCCGATAGAAAGTCTGTAGTCTGTGGGGACTCTAATAGTTAAAATCAAGTCATTTATTGAACAAAAATTGATGGAATCAAGATGGTACGTAAAATACTACTAATTTAATATAAATATCGGTAAGTTATAAAAAGTGGATTATTATAAATGGTTGGAAATAAATGGATTGTTAAGAATTGATTAAGATAATTTTATTCAATATTGTTAATTTTATTTATTTAATAAATTTGTTAATTTTTTAACTGTATTTTAACAGTTAATAGTTATATTAATCATTCATCCATGCGGTGCTTTACCACACAAAGCGGGGACCGAGATAAAAGGATACTATATAATGTATTCTATTTCTATCTCATTCTCTCGCAGGTTAAATCCCATAAATATATTTATATATTTGTTTCTTATTAGTGCCGCTTTCTCTTTTAATCGAGTTTCAAATCACAACGATTCTAAAAAGTTTTCGCTTCAATAAAATAAAATCGAATCGTAATCGATAACAACGATAATCGATTCTACGTAACATTTTTAGTCCGTGATAATTGTAACCGCGCAATATGCGTTTTCCCATCTCTAGTTTTAGCTACCGCCCATCCTCTCACTCCTCTCTGTACCATTTTGTTCCTAAAAACTATATCTGCGCAGCCTCGTGCGACTAACTTCAGCCCGACCAAGTTAGAATGCGACAGCTTTACATATTATGAACATAAACAACTATATAACTATATGTACGTCTATACGTCCTTAAAAGGACCACCGGGTTGCTTGTTATATATTGTATTTAGAAAGGCAGATACTTCAAGCACAGCTCCTGCTAGATTTTTTAAATCAATGATGCAGGTGTATAAGAGTATTGAAATCTAAGCAATTTCACTGTCATATTATTTGTCCTTGACTCTAATAACAGGTTTGGTATTCATTAATGCTGCAACCTGTTATGGTTGCAGCATTAATGGATCGATTTGATGGGTTTAGAACCAGGTTATTACAGGGTACCAGTGTAAAATGATGCTGCGTTTCATAGTGAGCTTGGGCCATTCTATTTTAGTTCTCATGGATGAAAATGTTTTTGCATTTTAATTCTTCATAAGAGGCGACAGAGGGAAACAAACAGCTGAATGGCTGCAATCTCTGTGTGGCACATCTGCTTTGTAGCAACTATGGCAAATACACCTCTTATGAGGCATTATGCTGTAATGAATGAATGGACAGTCTTTTTATTCAACATCATCATTACAGCCCTCGTCCACTGCTGAACTTAGGCCTCCCCCAAGGAATGCTACAAAGCACGGTCCAGAGCCACCTGCATTCATCGACTGCCTGCATGTCTTACCAGCTGTCACTCTATATAGTGGGTTCACTTTTATTATAGTTTTTTATTTAATTGTTTATATTCCTCTGCAGAAATCTCAAGTGCCACTAATCCAAATAAACCTCGTGGCGACACCAGGCAGAAGCATTCTTAAGTCTATAAATGTAGCATCAACTCAGAGGAAATGGGGCAAAAAGCCATAATATTTTAAGATTATTTTGCCCGATTTCTCTGACTTGATGTACAGTACTGTTTAACAATTCAGATGGTGAAAACAGTTTTTCACAAAGCCCAGAGGCAGTCGAGAAAGTTGCAGAGGGCAATGTAGACAGTGGCCTATCCTCAATGGATGTAGAGAAGGAAACCGCACAGAATATAGAAAATATGAAGCAAAAGTCAAAGCTGCCTTACCAGCTTTGACTTTTGCTTCATATTTTCTATGTTGTTTGAATTGAATGAATGAATGTGTTTGAAGATAGAAGTCCAGTTTTAACAAGAAGCAGATGTAAGAGTGAGACGTGAGAGTGTTTCTACACAGCCAAGCTGTAAATAGATGGCACCACATGGCACTCATGTCAATTAAATAGAAATTTTATGTGGATACCAGTAAATGACGCCACAGTTTCGAGTAGTCAATAGACATCTTACTTGTATATTTAAAAAAAATCTCATTTAAAGAAACCGACTAAGTTTTAAGGCACTATAGGTATTAAATCGATTTTAAATCAGGTAATTATTTATTTATGATGATCTCAACTACCGAATTTAATATTATAAAATGTCGGGATGTGGCTGTGTCATGGACACGACCGTGTGAGTTACGTAAAGTGGTCCTCACTCGACGTAAATCATTCTTTGATCCTTTAGCTATCGAGTGGCGTAATTAAATTTTGAATGTAGATGACAGATATGTATATCGCTACAACAACAAACTGTATCGCCCGATTTTGTTATCGTCAGTTTTTTTGGATTGCCTCCCACTATGGAATAAAATTAAAAGACGTATTCACATCAATAATATAGGTCGCGTGAACCCATTTTAGATATTGTATTAAATAGTATATTGCGTCTTAACCTGCAATTCCTTCGGCTTTGCGGATGTTCATTGATATTCACCATCAGCTGAGCCGCTCGCTCATTTACCTTTTATAAATATGTTTTTCTTTTCTAAAACCGTTTTTCAAAATGTATTTGTAATTAAAAGATTTTTTTTATATTTTATCATACAGGCACTCGATTTCTATACGAATTTTATAGGATAGCAATCTCATACTCAAGGGATCACCTACAAAATATGCAGATAATATAGTTAATAATTGAATAAATATTTATTATGTACTATTAGTAGTTAGTATGGCAAATTCTCGACGATTCCAATTTAAAATTGTGTTTAGAAACTTGCCTTTCTTAAATTTGTGAGAAATTGGACTCTTGACTCACCGACAATAGTTGATTAGCTATCAATCGTTAAGTACTATTTTAATTTAGAAAAAGAGTGTTGAAGTGACAGTCTTATCATTAAGAGGTTTTTTGAATTATAATGGGCTGATTTTTAAATCGTCAGGTAAAAGTTATTCAATAAATAATTAAACATTAAATTGAAATAATGAGGGCTAATAATCTTCCGTTCATCAGATGTCGCTAGTAGACACTGAGGTAAAGTTTTTTATTACACTGTTCAGAATAGAACAAGGTAGATAAAATAAAGCTCTTTAGAACTGTTACAATGTATATTTCTTGATACAATAATTAGGGTAGGTACAATCTGGTTGCATGCCCATTAAGATATTTAGTTGCTTTGAACTTTTGTAATGAACATACAGTATTTACACTTAAATTGCATATGTTTGCAATTAAAGTACATTGTATATGTTATTTATAACACAGATAATGTAATGTATTCATATAATGAAAGTTTGTAACTCTGAATGACATTATGGTAAGAATAATGTAATGTCTACTTTATGAATATCTGTGGTTTAATTTACTTTAAATATAATTAATATAAAATATAACTAAATATATGGTACAGAAGGCAGCATTAACCATTACCACAGACTATTATGATGCTTATGCATCAGATGGGGCACTCCCATAGAGTTAAACTGTACTCGTCTATCCACTCATGACACATGTCACTCCATCTAGTGGGGTGTCGCCCTACATTAATTATTAAGTAATACAAATTGTTAAAAAAATGTTAAATAATTTAATTTTGTTAATTTAATTATTAAATTTTTTAATGTTAATTATTATACTTAATTTTGTTTTAAATTTATTAAAAGATTTTAATTGCATCTGAGGTAAAGTTTTATTTTCTAATCTTAGAATATCTGTACCTTTCAATATTTTATTAATAATATTGCACCAATTAAACACTGTCAATCTTAAAGTTAGAGTTAAAAAGTGTTCAAAAACAGCATCCTTATGCAGTTCGCAGTTTATAAAGTCAAATAAATACTTAGATTTGATAAGAGTTTTTATGTTTTTGTAACAAATCTCTGTTGAGGTTAAGTTTTAAAGTATTTATTTGCTTCTTGTGTTACTATCCCAAAAAATCTCACAGCGTTTTCCGAAGGGTAGATCAAATACTTTTCTTTTATACTCTTAAATTCTTTAAGGTAAATCCAATTATTGATAGAATTTTTTGTTTCAAAATTGGATTCCCTATTCGTTAAATGAGCTTTACACTGCTGAAAATATTTTTTTTAGTATGTTTCTTACGACCCACCCAGTGATATATGCACGTGAGTGAACATCAAGTTTTTCCTGCTTTGCTGAACTTTCACTTTCTACCCAACTCGATAGCTCATAGGACTCTAATGAAGGGATTTGCTTAGTATTATCAGTTTTTTCTTTTGTACAAAATAATGATTTTAATTTTAATAATTGTTCACCAGAATCCTCTTCACAATGTAGAAGATAACCGTTTTTTGTTTTATATGCCAAAAAATCTACAAAAAATTACGAGAATAACCGTGTTTTTAATTTTTTTCTATCTTCAAAACTGACCGAGATATAAAGGCGCAAAGTTAACATTTTCGGTCTAAGCCGCGGGCCGAGAGCGACATCGTTGATGACGTCACGATTTCCATCTTCGTGCGAGAGACCCGACGCGCACTTAGAAAATCAAAACATTTACTCGAATGTGCCCGTCGCGCGCGGATTTATTTGCTATATATTTTTAACAAGAAACATTATAGAACATGACACCATTTATTAAATATTGTGCTGTGCCTCAATGTAAAAATACGGCCACAAAAACACCTGAAAAGTTGTTTTTTAATGTGCCTTGAAACCCTACCATCAGAAAAAATGAACAAATGCTATGAGAAGAGCTAATCCTTTGGGACCAAACACGGTAGCATATTGTTTTGAGGATCATTTTGATGTAAGTATTCAAATAATAATAACCTTCACATGATAGCTCTTGGTTATCGCTAGTAAATGATTTCTATTAGGCATGTTGGGTCGCAACCAACTCGAGTCGCAGTGTTTAGGTAACTAACGATTCATTGAACCTTTCCACGCTTAATGATCATTTAAAAACCTAATACCTACATATTTAACTAAAACTACTTCAGTGTAAATAAACATCCAAACTTGGGTAAAGTACTTACCTATGTAATGTAGTGTCAATGACCTGTCGTGAGTTCGTAAGTTTATATACCTACCGATGTTTGCAGAAAATTTTAAAATGTTTATAATGCATATAAAGGTTAAAATATGGAATATGTTAACAAACGTTTTTATATTTTTACGATATTTCGAGCAAAAACTAAACACATCGCAGAGCTGTTCAACCTGCATACTTTGCGGGCAGCAAATAATGGAAGAAGTTTGATTATGAAGTGGATCACTTAATTTTTTTTTCGTGTTGTCCTATTTTATGGGCTAATATTTCCAATATGGACCATCGATTTCAAAGCCCATATTTTTTTTTGTAGATAGTACTCACTAAAAGAAAGCGTTTTGCAAAGTTTTAGGTTGCAGAAACTTACGGTTCATGAGATATATTTTTTAAACTTTTCATACGAATTGGTAAATAACACGCAATTACAAAATAAATTTGACAAATGATTGACGTCAAACGTCAGTTAGTGTAGGGTTCCGAATATTTTGAAAGTATCGATACCTACTCGATACCAAGTATCGTATCAAAACTACTTGGTATCGAGTACATTTCGTTAATTTTGGAGACGAAAAATTATGACAAACCAATTAGATGCATAGGAAGAGCTGATAAGTGCAATTATATATGTATATAAAGTTTACTCTATTTAAGTTCCACCTTAATACTTGTATTTCATTGTTTGCAACTTGTTTGTATTTCTTAATTAGTACAGCTTTTGTACTTTTATTTTATTGTTTGCAATTTTCTGTATTTAATTCTTACTTGACTTATTTAATATCCAAAAAGTACCCAAAATCGAATCAGAGCACCCCACTATCCACGTGGTCTTGTCTGCCCTACCCCTAGAGTGTATATAAGAGCCCGGAGGCGCGGAGGGAGAGCAGTGCCACGGAGCCCCGGAGCACAACTTCCCGGCTTCTTACCCACCTAGTCTCCTAAATTAACGAAATTTACTCGATACCAAGTAGTATTGATACTTTTGATACGATACTTGGTATGGAGTACGTATCGATACTTTCAAAATATTCGGAACCCTACACTAATTGACGTTTGACATCAATCATTTGTCAAATTTATTTTGTAATTGGTGTAATTGCGTGTTATTTGCCAATTTGTATGAAAAAATATATCTCATGAACCGTAAGTTTCCGCAACCTAAAACTTTGCAAAACGCTTTCTTTTAGTGAGTACTATCTACAAAAAAAATATGGGCTTCGAAATCGATGGTCCATATTGGAAATATTAACCTTTTTATGTATTACATAGTTGGTACACATTTTAAATATTGATGGAATACAAACTACGAGGTTCCTTATTTTTTATAGATTTTAAATAAGTTTGTATTTTGTTCTAGGTCGAAAACAATATGGAAAACTACGTGAAGTACAAACTAGTTGGTGGTCCCCTCAAACTTAAAAAAGATGTTTTGCCTCACAAGTTTGCTTGTCAAAATCGGTATACAGAAAACCACAAAGATGTTTACTATCAAAACTAAATGCCAAAGGGGGACGCCCATTTTCGGCCATGGAACGCCCAACAATGTGAATTTGTTAAAAAATTATATCTTTA